TTTTTAGTTGATCAACAACTTGAGGCATTTAAGTTTGTCAAGGCTTTTCGGAAGGAGCATGGCAATAGATACTAGAAACGAAAAGAAAGCTTGTACCTTGCTTTAGTCTATACTATTTATAAGAATTTAATTTTTAATCTTAATAATAAATATAAATGTTAGAATAATACTCCACCCAATCATAAATATAGAAGCTAATTGTGGTGATTGTTTTGATCTTAAATACTCCTTTTGGTCACAATATATAAGTCGTTTCTAGGAGAATAGTTTGGTTCAAAATATAAGTTACTTGGAGAGTAATTAATACTTATTTATTCATTTTATCTCTATAGTTAATGCTTAAACATAACTCATTGTATTCCCCCCTCTTTTACAACCTTATTTAATGTGGGTATGTGGTTCGTTTTTTGCTATACATACATTTTCACAAAGAAATTGCCCAAGGTTAATTATTGTATATGCTTTTTCACAAGAATTGTTCCTTGGATTATTTACAAGCGGTATTCAAGCTCTCATTTTTGCAACTTTAGCTACGGCTTATATAGGTGAATCCATAGAAGGCCATCTTTGACTAGTTTTCGAAATAGTCATTGTTTTTAGCTTAGCCTGCCACAATGTATGTGCGGTTCAAAATAATCTACTTAAGGGGGGGAACTTTAGGGCACCCTTGGGGAAATCCACCCGGTGCCGTAGCTAACCGAGTAGCTCTAGAAGCATGTGTACAAGCTCGTAATGAGGGACGTGATCTTACTCGTGAGGGTAATGAAATTATTCGTGAGGCTATAAACGAGTATCAATGATCTTCTATATCTTTTTATACCTTCCTTCGTTTCAAAATTGTCAACAATATTTTCTTTAGCTCTATCAATTGCTTCATAAATATTTGGCATAGCAAGTTCAGAGTTACCGTCTATAAGTCTCAAAACTTTTACAAATGGACTCACACACTTTAAACAATATTTGATGGAACTCCAAAATCTAGAATCCCCAAAAACCATGTCCACCACTTGCTCACCTTCACTTTTACTAGCAAAAGAACTAGAAATGCAATCATTTGAAGCAAACATGGTTCAAAGAGCATTCTTTTGTTGCAATATGCAACTTAGTGTAAGATAAGTTGTTGCATATCTTGTCACTATTGATCTAGCTATTCTCTTCCCTTGGAATACTTTCTATACAAGTTAAGGACCTATGTATGCCTATAAACAAGGTTGTTATTTTCTTTACATTGGTGATGGTATTAAAAAATACTAGAAGTTGCCCAATGTCTTCAAGAATTAAATCAAGGCAGTGTGCTACACAAGGGGACCAAAATAATTTTCTTCTCTTCTCTTCTAACATCTTTCCTACTGCCAGGAGATTTGAGGTACCATCAGTCATAACTTGCACCACATTATCCTCCCTAGTTTCCTCAACCATATTGTCTAATAATTCAAACATTTGTTTAGCATCTTTAATCATACTACTTGTATCCATTGACTTTAGAAAAACTATCCTGCCAGGACTGTTAACTAAAAAATTAGCAAGAGACCTCCTTTTACAATCAATCCAACCATCACACATCAAAGTACAACCCCATTTCTCTTGTTCCCTCTTATACTTAGCTAAACTTTCTTGAATTTTATCAATTACTTTTTTCAAGTGAGAAACTCTCACCTTGTGATAACTTGGAGGTTTCAAACCCCTACCATATTCACCAACAGATTTTAACATTTGAATAAATAGTGGACTTCTCACCAAATTGAATGGCCAAAGTATTACCATAGATGCATTTGCAAATATAATAAATTACTAACTCTCTATCTTTTACCATCTCATTCATTATTTTCTATTTGGTAGTTTTTTGATGTCTCTTCCTTCCCCTGGGTATCTTGAGCAATTGCCTCTTCAAATATTTCAACACTATTAGCATCTTTACTTTTTTTCTCTACTTTCTAGCATTTTAACAAACAACTTTTTAACTTCATCAAGAACACTTCTTTCTAGTTCTAGCCAAATGATGTTTCATTTATCTACCCATCCCAACATTTATGTGAACAATATTTGCATTTAACCATACTTTTATGGGGAGAAACACTTTTGCAATGATTCCATGTAATATCAGCCTCCTTTTTTTACTTATTCTGATTCTGACTCATTTTTCCCACCAATATAATATCCAATAAAAGTAAAATAGAATGAAAAAAATTACCAAATAGGAGTGGAAGAGAAGAAAAGGAACCAGTAGAAGAGAAGACTTCAATGTTCAAAGCTTCCAAGTCTCGACTAAAAGAAACCAACAGAAGAGAAGAAAAGAAGTAATGTGGCGTAGGGCACAAGATATAGATTAGAACATGAAAAGGAGAGTAGTGGGGAATAAAAAAGTAGGGCTTCTTGATTATAATTGCATTAATGGCAGTTTACCTCCCTTATATAACAAAATAACAAATAAATAAGGGTTTTATTGTGTCGGATCGCTCAGATCCAGGTCAAATCCTCACGACATGACATCACGCAGAATCGTGCGATTCAGGGCGTGATTCAAATAGCCTTAAGATACACTAGGACATTCATATCTCCCTGTGTATATTTTGTGACAAATCGTGCAATCCGTATCCCGAATTGCACGATGCTAATAACAATGTTTGCACATATTAAAAATTTTATCAAATAATAATTTTAGCTAATACACATTATTAACAAAGATATTTTAAGAAAAACAATGCTTATTCATTACAAATAACTAATTTAACTAATTTTTTGAATCTACTCAAATTAGTTAACTAGGTCATATATTAAGAACCGAAAGTAGTATGATATGACATAGATATGTTTGTAGTTAAAGCATTTAGAATTATGAGAAATATCAAGGAACGTGTGAATCATGAATGATATATAATGCAATAGGGTTTAAAGAGTCATGCAGTTTGATTAGTGTACATAAGTCTGAGTGTCATTGTGTCTGGTAAAAGAAGGGATTTCTGAACAAATAATCAATAGCGTGGTTTGTGTATCCCATTTTCCAGTAGTTAAAGCATTTAGTATGATATATAACATCATGGAAAGAAGTGAATATAAAAAATATGAAGGTGTGAGAAATACTCATCCGGTTCTAAATATAAGATCTGTTTTATAATATAAATTACACTATAAAATAGGTTTTACATTTAAAACCAGAGGAGTAACTAATTTTCATGAAAAATGAAGTACAATTAAACATAGAGGAAATACATATCATGGTGACTCTTCAATTCAAGTTCTAAAGAAATATTACCAAAACTGAATTTGCCTCCATCAAGTTATTGGAGTGCAAAATATGGGTTAAAACATTAAAATATATTTGTATATATATTTGCATTGGGCATGAAGATCAACAGGCATAAATGCCTGCAACAGCAGCTATCTTAGAAAGATATAAAAGATGCTTTCTCTCAAGTAATTTTAGTTTCAAATTAACATATTCCAGTTCTTTCTCTTTAGCAACTGAGGTAGACTTCTTGTTTTGAGTTAGAGCCAATTCATGTAGAGTTTATGATGCCAAGGAAAATTGATGAAAAATTAAATCATAAAATTTTATAATATATAGTAAAAAATAATAAAATCTATAGCATATTAGAAAGTTTGGAAATACATGTATTAGAAATATTTTTATGTTGTATAGAAATTATTTTTTGACAATACTTAAATAATTCTTATGTTAAGTAAAGATATCTTTGTCAAAATAAATGGTTTAGGATGGAAATGGACTTTTTAATCAATATATCCCTTCAAAGTACATAGCGATGATGTGATTAGACCACATGTGGTCTATTTTGGTCGTCCGGATCATCTCAAGTTATTACATGTCAATTTATTGTTGTTTGGATTTTTTATCTACGTGTGTGTTGTGGTCGCTGTTAGGTCGTTCCCTTCTTGCGCGTTGTTGACTACCGTTTGTGCTTATCTGCTTTTTTGGGTTAAGGCCTTTGTTTTCTTGCTGTTATAGGATATGAGTGAAAATAGATCAAACAATCTCTCAAGGGCTTATGGTCCTATCCTGTTTAAAAACAAGAACATGCTCATAACTTTTTAAATGCATGTTTTTTTTTAACAAGTTAGATCTAAACTCTTTGATAAGCCTATTTAGCCGGCCTGAATCTGTTATAATTTTATTTTTTTGTATGAGTTATAATTTAAACTGTAGAGATGCGTTGTGAGTGAGAGAGCGAGAAAGAAACATATTTATATTTATTGCAAATATAAATACAACTATAAAAAATCCGGTTTACATGCCCAACATAAAAGATTGAATTAGGGGTGTTTGGGTAAGAACAAAACCATGGTTTCAGAAGTGCTTTTACGTTATATCAAGTAAACATGTAAAGGAGTTTGTCTCGATTTGCAGAAAAGTGTTTTTGAAAAATGATTATGGTGTATTCCAAACACCCCCTAAATGGTCAACTTAAAGTTATAGATATACATACATACATATCTCAAGTCCTGTGAAGCTAGGAATTTGTCTAAACATCTAAATTTTAAAATTAAATATTAATGAAAAGTTAGGATAACTTAGGAAAAAAAATGAAATTAGAAATTAAAAATTAAAAAAACACACACACATATAAATTCTAAATCTAAAATATAAAATAAATTCAAATAATTCAACTCATGGATTCGATTGAAATTATGGATCATGAGTTAGAAAGTTAATTTTTTTTAATCTTTTTTAAAGTTCAAATTTTGAGAAGTTAATATTATCATCATACACGACTGCTACGTAGATTTTTTTCTTTGATAAACGAGATAGAGAAATGGTTGACATGAATGTTTTCAATAGATTAAATTTGAATTATGCATATTAAACTATTTTTAAAGTACATTTTTATTTGGCTAAGAAGAACCCCCCAATATGATGCAAATGGCGTAACATATTGAGATAAAACTAACTTGGAAGAACATTAAGCTCCATGTGTAGACTGGTCCATATATCGCTGCCTTGAAAGTAGATAAGGGAAACATATTATGGAATTAAACAAGCATCATATAAACATGAAAGATACCACTACGTTTCTTGGCCAACATATTTCAATTATGAAAACATTCAGTGTATTGATTCCTACCACACTCTATCCTACAAAACATTATATATTGGTACCTTCAAAGCTGGTATATATGAGACTATTATGAGAGAAACGCAAACTGCCTTTTGCATCTTTTGCCATGCTATTCCATGGGGGAAGGACCCTCTTGGAGTCTAGTATTTTCCTGCTCACAGCCTAACATGATTGCCATTAGCATAAGCTTGCCTGCAACTGGAAAATCCTTGTGCTGCATCAATAGTGCTTCCACGGAAGAAGACATATCGCCCATAACCGAATTCTCCAAGTTTTCTTCTCTCAGGGGCAATACTTGCTCAAAGCCCTCTTCGAATGTTACTGCTTCGGGTCCGTAGCACCGTCTTGAAGCCTGGAAAAGTGCTGTGTTGCTCAAATTCTGCAGGGTTTCTTCGTCGCTCCATCCCTCAACTATGGATGACTCGAAAAACTTGCTCCAATCATCCTGACTCGCCGCCTTCTTCCAGCATTCCTCCAAAAGCTTTCTATGGGTTTTACGAAAAGAGGAACTGGTCCACGCAAACACATCGAAGGCCCACAATGAGAGCTCTTGCCCTTCACCTTCCAGGCATAATTTAATCAAGTCTTCTGGATGAAGTAGTTGTTGCTCATCAAGTTGCTTATCTTCTATGGGAGTAAGAAGTTTCATTATTTCCTCCTGCAGGTCAAGAGTCCAAGAGGAAATGAATGGAAGGCACATGTTAAGAACATGACAAGGCTTTTCTCTAGCAATACGTCGCTCAAATAATTCTATAATAAGTCTTATCCCACTATATCAGCCCGACATCATTCTACAAGTACTTGGGGACAAAAAGCAAATGATAAACCTTATGGAAAACACTAAATAGTGACAACATGTTTTTTGGTATTTATTTAGGATTATAGAACCAAGATGAAATCCTTGGGCAGAACTTGTATGCTGTGGAAGACATCACTATCAAATGTTCATCTATTCTTTAAATTATAGACAAAGGTATCTTTCTTAAAATATCAAATCTAGCCTATCATGAACAAGCAATAAAATATTCACTTAAAATGGACACGTTCCGTTATTAGAAGTCAATCAAATCGCATATCAATTGAGTTGCTGCACTTCTGCAACTCTCGTGATATATTAAATAAAAGCTTGCAGAGCTAAAGTCAATTGAACTATATTTAAAATCACCGCCCAAAGCTCATAATACCGCGCAGAATTTTTTATTACATATGTATCACCTCTGTGATCTGGCCTATGCTAGTAAGTAAACATATCAACTAATGTTACTTTCACTATTTAGTGAAAGTTCATAGGATTATCGAATCATGCTAAAGTGCTCCAGGGCTCAGTTTTAAGCCTTGGTTTTGGACTCTCAAGTTTAGGCCTTATCGAAGCTTGAGCTCAAGAGATAACAAGCAAACTGAGGTAGAAGTCCTTAAGGTTTATCTGAGCTCGGCTAAGTTTAAATTACGAGCCGCTAATTTTTCAAGATGGACAACAATCAGAACCTAACAATAAATCATAAGTATCGTGGTTTTATGGGCTACAAAATTAGCCTCAGTACTGCATGAGAGTCATTACAAATAATATATTCAATTGACCAAAAATTAATAAATTCATCATCTAGTTGAGAACTGATAAGAAACTACAAAACTACCTGTAACTTTAGAATCTTCAAATCAGCCTCTATACGGTCAACCTTCGCTTGGGAATCAGTATCCTCACCAGCTGTTGTACAAGAAAGGGATGATATTACAAACGAAAAAATAATAGTCTGTTGGCATTTATGCATGCTATGCAGAATAAATAGGAATGACCAAAAGAGTACAGTGAATAACAGGTTAAAAGAATGTCCACACAATCACATTTATGTAAATGCAAATACAAGATGTCAAGAGCCTGGATCATCTTGTATGAGAAAAAGAGCCAAGACTGTCATCCATCCATAGCCATCCACGTGAAGGAAAAGCTGCACCCATTAAGTTAGCTAGGTGTAGGAAGAAGTAAACTTAAATATTATGTATTTCAGGTTTCTTAGCAAGTTATATGAGTCTACCAGTATTAAGTGTATCACTTGGTATTATATGACATGAATATGTGCGTAGTTAAGCATTTAGAACTATGAGAAATATCAAGGAATGAGTGAACCATGAATGATATTTAATGAAATAGGGTTTAAAGAGTCATGTAGTGTAAATAAGTTTGAGTGTTGTGTCTGGTAAAAGAAGGGATTTGTAAACAGATTATATTAGTAGTGTGGATTGTGAGACCAGCTTCTCTCCTCTACCCTTCCCCTCCTCCACCCCCTTCATCACCATTGGATCAAATCTCAATGGTCCAGATTTAATACTTTAAAAAAATATTATTATTTTTTACCAAAAATATATTATAATTTTATTTTAGAAAAACATAAATAAATATGAATTGCTAAAATCTAAGCTAAATAGATTACAACTGTTGATTATTGTCATAAAGTATATTTTTTCCCGTGAACTGTTCAGATCATATTTTAGCAATTCAAATTTATTTATGTATTTTTAAAATAAATTCATAATATTTTTGTCTAAAAATAATAATATTTTTTTAAAATATCAAATGTGGACCATTGAGATTTGATCCAATGGTAATGAGGTGGATAGAGGAAAGGTAGAGAGAAGCTGGACGCGGATCGTGTATCCCACTTTCCAGTAGTGTTCTCCATGTTCTCCTCATTATCAACATAATGATGTATAAGACGAGGTTGAGTGAACCTGATTAAAAATAGAGGAAGACAAAGGCTGTTGCAATGATATCTCCAAAGTGCGAGAATTCATTGATAGTTGAGATCTCTTGGTTGAGAGGACCAATTAAGAGTGTCGGTCATCAATAGTCAGAAACCACAAAGAAAATATGATATATAAAAGCATGGACAGAGGTGAATATAAAACCTCAGAAGGTTTGTGTAACAGCTAATTGTCATGGAAAGCGAAGTACAATTAGACAGAGGAAGAACAGATCATGGTAACTCTTCAATTCAAGGTGCTCCGAAAAGAAATATTAACAAAACAGAATTTGCCTCCGTCAAGTTATTCAAGTGCAAAATGTGGTCCAAAACATGAATATATATATATATATTTTCCTAGCCAAAGTTATGATTATGGATAAGTTTAGTTGGCAAGATATACTTGAATAAAAGGTGTTCACAAAGAAAGAAGTTGAGAACGAAGCAGCACTCTGTGTGCGACAGGGCTCCTGGAGTGTTTTTTCACTCATCATATCATGCTCGAAGATGTGAATGCAAGAGATTTGCATGATATGAATGCCAGATTTGGGCTGTCATGAAAGAAGCTTGTCAAAAGTTAAGAGAAGATTATCAAAAAAAAGCTAAAGATGAACTCCTAACTCTGAAGGATGAGATGAAAGAAAGAGAAGCTGAAGCACCTGACAGCAATGAAGGAGCAATTGCAGTTCAAAGTACAGGAAGAGTAGTATCTACCATTTGTGATTTTACTCTAGGACGCGGTCCAAGTAAATGTCATTAATTGAAGAAAAAACAGTAAAGTTTAAGGAGGGATGTTGGAATAAGTGAACTTAAATATCATTTCTTTTAGGTTTCTATGTAAAGTTTAAAAATAAGTCTCATGGTACTAAGTGTATCTCTTAGTATGAGGTGACATCATGTGTAGTTTATGTATTTAGAATTATAAGACATACATGGGAATGTGTGAATCATATATATGATATTTAATATGGAAGGGTTTAAACAGTGATGAGGTTTAGTATAAATAGGTTGAGTGGTGTCGCGTATGGTGAAAGAAAGGATTTGTAAATAGATTATAGTATAATAAGAGTGGGGTTGGTGTTTCCATTTTTCTCATGTCCAACACTTGACAGATCCTGTAAGATCAAACAGTTTTCGTGATATCTTATAAGTGATAACCGAATATCTATTTTAAGAGCAAACGGAAGATTAACTTCAAGTTGCAGGAAATGAAAATTTAATATAAAATATTGAAGGGGAAAAAGAAGCATCTGCAGAAGGCATAAAAATCTACAAAGACAAATACCTGCAACAGCAGCAATCTTAGAAAGATATAAAAGATGCTTTCTCTCAGCTAATTTTAGTTTTGAATTAACATATTCCAGCTCTTTCTCTTCAGCAACTGAGGTAGACTTCTTGCTTTGAGTGAGAGCCAATTCATGTAGAGTTTCTGATGCCAAGGAAAACTGATGAAGGAACAACTCATGAAGCCAAAGAAGATCAGGATGTTCCTTCAGAAAAATAGTCAACTCATCTGGAAACTCTTCCCCTAGTCTTAAAAGTTCACAAAATTGTCTGCTTTCGTGCAGTTGTTTAAAGACATAGTAACTAAATCCTCCATTAGGTCCTAAGCTTTCTTGCTGCAGACAAACCACTGAACATTATCAAGGGAAATATACATTTAAAAAGTTCAAGCACGAGAATGCAAATTATATCAGTGCCGTAAAAGATGAGCATATTAATGCAGACAAAATATTGTTCATTGATGATCTGTAAGATTGAAGAGCACCATGAATAATTTGTGTCCAAAAAATTTCATTTTATTACCAGTGACTCATTGCAGGTACTAGGTCCAAATAAGGCACTATCTCCTGATACACTGTGCACTTTCAGAGTTCAGAGATCAAATCATCACCTCAACTCACAAAGCTGCCAGAATTAAAATGTCTACACTCCCTATCAATGTTTTTTTTTGGGCACTGGAAGAAAAAGTTCATAGCAAGTTCCACATAGCAAGAGAAAGTCAAAAAAAAAAAAAAACATAGTGGAGAACAGAATTAGCACAAGAAAGGGGGGGGGAATACATACCATAATATTTCTCAGTAATTCTGAATTATTCATGTCACAGCATATTTGCCACATAATTTTGTAGCACCCATGCCTTTTAGCAATTGATAGCAAATGTGAAGTAATCTTCAAAACAGCTTCCTCACTCTGATTTTTATTTCCTTCAATTGAAACCTGCACAAGCAATCAATTGAACAATATTATTAATAATAAGAATTGAAAGGAAGCAATACGCAAAATATAATAATGACCTTGTGGCTAGCTTCATAGTCTTTGACTTGTTGATAAAGAGAAACAAGAAGCATGTCCCGCCTCTCCCAGTACTCATTGAGCAGACTTTTGTGCTCTTCACTTCGCTCAATTTTAGCTGTGACAGCTCCAGCATATGCCTCAAGCAGCACTTCAGCTAGTGCTTGAAGATGATTATACAAATCTAATTTTGCATACATATCAAGTCCAGATATTTCATTTAACAACTGAAGCAAAACAGAAGCAACACTCCACACCCCCTTGCGTACCACAGGTCGACAATACCAAGGTGCTAAACCCTCAGGAGGTGGATACCATAAACGATTCTCATTCTTATAGTTAAAGCACGTCTTAATTATAGTGACACACGCATTTGAGAGTTCACATAACCTCTGGATCAGGATCCCAGAAGGCTGTTCAGGGCTTATAACACATTCTAACTCTCCATCTAAGCAGTAAAAGAAATCTTCCAGCTCAGAAACCTTACTGTAAAACACTTCAGCATTATCTCTATCCATCAGAAGTACTGTATTCCTGCGGGCTCTCTCACCAACTATTTGTATCACATCCCAAAGGGCACCTGACATCTGAATTTGCAAACTAGAATTTGTGGAGCCAACACTAGTTGAACGATTCTGGCTAATTAGATTCTGCAATTCCCTCAGCTGAATCATTGCAGCTAATTTTTCACCATGCTCCAAGACAGTTTGCAAAGCTTGTCCTGCCAATAAGAAAAATAATAATAATATAATACTACTAGTATTAGTAGTAGTAGTAGTAAAAGAAGTAATTTAGGCATCATATGTCCACCTACTGTCACCTTCATGCTCTCTAAAAAATTTATATATAGTCATAAATTAACCACCACCCTCACATTCAATCTGAGCAATTCTATTGACATCATTTAGAATTAAAAATTCACAAGCACAACCTACCCAAACAAAAAATCCATAGTCTCGTATAAAATCTAGATGACAAGACAAAGCAATCAGCATTATTCAGTCTCTCTCATTTTCTTCTCCCTCCCACAATAATCGAAGATAATCCCAAATTATAAGCCCAAGAATACAACTAGCGAATAACATTCTGTCTCATTGTTCACAGTACATTTTCATGTAAAAGCAGCCTAAGAAGTCCAAGAATGGTGTTTTGCCATCTCCAAGTTCTAAAATGAATTATCACAATACTGTCATGTGCTGATCAGCCAAAACATTTATTACTAGATCGCGGTCTCAGTCATAAAAGCATGATAGATTCAATATATTTCTCACACCTACCTTGCACATTAATGTAACTGCCAAAGTGTTAATTATATATGTTAGCAAAACTAAGATTAACATGAATAAATCTTTTGGCAGCTAGCTACAAATGTCATACTTTGTTTAGAACATAGCTCCTCATGGCATTTGGATAAGGCAAGAAACTGGAGAAACTTTTGATGTTTCTGCTGCTTTTCTAAAAGCTGGGTGGAAACAACAGCCATGGCCAAAATCTCTGCACCTCTGGTTGTCGTCCAGTGTTTAGCTAAGGTGTCAATGATTGACTTACTCATCCTCACAAAAACATTTGTTTCCCCATCCCTTTCAAATGAACCTGAACTTTCTAGCTTTTCAAATGATCTGTCAACTTCCCCAGATGATAAAAATTCATTGAAAAGATGACTCAGAAGAGCTTCTGATTCTTCATCTTGCACAGTTCGACGTGTGATCCCACTCAAACCTGACCTTTGTCTCTCTCCATTATCCCATGCTTCAGAACTAGCCCTTCTGGGGGCAACATTACCTGCAAAGGTATGATTTCTTATCTCTTCTTGTGCAGATCTTTCATTTGAGCTTCCTTTGCGTGATAAACTCCGTTCAGGTGGTTCAACTCCACCAAGTATAACAGCCTTCTCAGGTATCGCCCATATTCCAGCTTTTTCTGTTAACACAACCCATGCTCCTTCTTCATAATCATCTGCACAAGGAAGAACTGAAGCATCTAGCACTTTTCCAGCATCATAGGGAAGATCAAATTGATATAGTCGAGTAGAGTTCCTATAGTTATGTGAGACTGTTGCTGTTCCATCCCCAGATATTATGACTGCTGACCCTGAAGGCCTGCCTCCAACCCGAAGCCTCATGGAAAACAAGAAAGTTTCATCTTCAACTCTGGCTTTTGGAATTATCACCTCTATAGGGGCTTTCTTTTCCAAAATTTTGTCATTCATAATCCCCACACCCAAGTCTGATTTATATTGCATAGTTAGAAGAGAATATTGCACATAGCTTGAACTAATTACTCGGTCCTTACAGAAGGTTGCAACAAGAATGGTAATCACTTTACCATGATCATCTACCTGCATGTCAAGGGGCCATATTCCTTTTTGACCAGCCAGATCCTTCTTAATACCCACATCAGCATCTGTCCCAACAATTTTCTGAGACCAAAGCTTTGAGGCATGCATATTAGAACTAAGTTCTACCCTAAAACATTGTATCTCATGATCAGTCAATACTAAAAATTGCCGGTTTGATTCCTCTGTTAAGTGGTAAGGAAAACACCATGTCATTGACCTTGGATATCCCTTGTTGCTGATTAGTTGACCAGAATCACCCCCTTGGATGGGAAACTGCAAAATATTTTCACATACTTTTTTTCGCTGAATGCCATAAGGGCTGCACAAAAACTCCCAAAGTTCACCATTTGAGCTACATGCAAGGGCAACACAAGTAAACTTATGACCAGGAACAGCAGAAGCAATCAAAGAGTTAAGCATGCGCGATCCACTTGAGCTACTCCCCACCTTGCTTAGTCTCCATTGCCTACTCGAGGTTTCTTTCCCATCAGGAGTGGAAGTAACCTCCAGCTCATTAGAAGATGCAAGACTTGTGACTGAAGCATTCTCTGATTGTGAATACATGTCAGGCCAATATATGACAGCCCGTGTAATTCGATTACACAAAACAACACCAGCAGAGTTACAATGTTTTCCAATTTTATTAGTTCCCACAGATGTGTTAGTCCAATTAATAACAGAGAGAAACCAAAAACTTGCATCATTTTTTCTACCATCTCTATTCTCTGAGATATTTGGAGGAATTTCAAGAACAACACACTTCATTGAAGAAGCAGGTGACAAGTAGCTCCAAATGAAGAGCTGGTTTCCACAAATAATCCAAGCAAGGGATGTCTGCCTTTCAATGCCGCCACATGTGCAATCTTCAACTGCATGACAATATAGTCAACACTGAACGTTTTATATCAAGTGCTCCATCGTAGGAACAAGTAACACGTGCTATCTAACAACTCCACTATTTCACTTCTGCTCTTTAAACAAATATGGTGGTATTCTAGACTATGGATTTGAGAAACCAATAAAACCAAACATACTCACCAGCAACTCGTTTCAGAAGCAAGCTGGCTTGCTGATCACGGACCACTTGAGGAAACTCTCCAACATATACAGGTTTAATCAATTCTGATTCATCCCCTTTTCCACTTCTATTAACTTGAGGAATTCTGTGTAAATACAACAGGGAAACATTACAGTTAGCACTTAGCAGTACCTCAAGAAGAAACTTCATGCAAACAATTTCTTAAACTGAGAATCAAATTGAAAATTTTCAATTCTAACTTTGCTAAGGATACGGGGAAAAAAAATCTTTTCTGTTTCCTACTTCTTAGAAAAGACAAGAAGAAAGAAATAAACATTTAAATATCTATCAATCTCTCAATATCACGATGGTAATTTTGTATAACCTAGAGAGTACAAGAGAACAATGTCTACAGATATCAAAGACTAACAGCCACCACTTCATAAAAGTTACAGATGCAAGACTAATTCCAAGAGCCCAAAATAAGCAAGTCATTAATTAAATGCAAAATGGTCGGCATGCTGCTTTCTCTGTTTCCTCCATCCTTCCATTCATAGCCCACGTTTTTAGAAAATTAAACATTCAGATGTTCATTTTGTTAAAACAAAACATGAACTGGTCTTTGACAACCATTAGAGCTACAATACTAACATTAGAAAATAAGAAACAAGAAATTTCAAAAGCACATACGGTTCACAGTTTGGATCATTGCAAAGACATATTCAAAATCGTCAAGCACCAAAACTTTTAAAAAATAATAATAAAAAAAATAGTGACCTCACCAGGGAAAATATTTACACGCATGCCCTGAAGAACTATGAGTTTTCGAATCTATTTTAAACCATTAAATTACAGGAAAACTGGTAATAAGTCCTCGCACCCATGCTGTTAGGTCAGTATCAGTTAAGAGACAATCATGTGGCATGATTATTAAAATACCATCAGCATGTTCTATGACAATTTCACTTTTAAGTCCATTGAGCTGTATTTCTCAACTTTGCACTTAAAATTTTATCTTTTGGGAAAAAAGACGCGTTGAATGTAAGGAATACTCAAAACAAGTGAAATAATCACATAGAACAAAGATGCATGTTTTAACGATGATGTCACCATCACAAGGTTTACAGTAACTCAACATTTGATGAATACAAAGACCATTAACAAGGTAACCCACTGTTCAGGGGTTTGATTGATGCGCTTGAAGGTTCATGGTGGCTAACTGCAATGGCCTCAAAGTTCAAAATGTGAGTAGGATTTCGATGAAAACATGCCCCCTTTCAGCTGGCACAGCTATGTACCATCAAACCCGACCAGTTTTACTTATATCCGCCATTGGCACAATTTATCGTCTAATTACACCTTTCAAGCTACAACAAGGCTATAATGTTACCAATTAAGACCAACTAATCAGCAATCATAAGCTAACTATTACATAATTTCTTGAGAGTCACAAAAGCATGTAAACTGGAAGACCACACCAGCCACACAAAAGGCATCTCTTATTCCATTTTCACCACTCTAACAAATATTCCCAACACAAAATAGTATTAAACATCAATTTTCATTATTAAAACAATACATTAGAAAGAAAAGAGCATTTGCTCAAGTTGCAAAGCACAATACTACTACTATGAATTTCAAAGTTGCAAACCATGCAGAAGGACAGAGTTACCTGGCAAGAACTGACAAGCGAGGAGCCCAAGGAGCGGGGGTGCCAGTACTTGGACGATTTGGGACAGTGTTATCAGGGAATAAACTTCGTCTCTCACCGAGAGGAGTGATCGGAGAATCGATCGCTGTGGTACCAGGAGGCTGCTGTCTCCGAGAGTTCACATTGGACTTCTTCGTTCCAGAAGAAAACATTTCTTATCACTTGGAGGATTCTAACAAGTGCGACGCTTCAAGGGTTTAGGGTTTTTATAGCATTGAGATTAGATGGAAAGAAAAATGTTAACAGAAAGCAGTGAAGACTGGCGAGATGACTGCCTTCCAGTTCTTCGGTTATTTGAAAATTGGAAATTAGAGGGCATGGAGGACGGAGGCCGGGTGACCGAGGCTCTCCCCACGCTTTATTTGGAGCTTGAGTTCAAAACGTAATTTTAAACAAAACAAAACTCTCTTTATATATTTATTTTATATTTGGTAAAACATATTTGAAACTATTTATAAATCCATCTAAACAAGTCTTAAAAAGACAAAAAGAAAAATGAAGCAGTAAAAAACGAATATACACACATATACACACACAAGTCATTTTATTTTCAGCCGAAAAAAAATATAAGTCATTTTATTTTGGGAAAATCTCTTAGAAAAACAACTAAATTGTCCAAATTTCGATGTGGTTGCTAAATTTAAGAAATAATTGCTCAAGGAATATGAGCTAAATTAGAATTTAGAAATTTTATCAATTTACCTCAATACCCCTAAATTATTGGGGAAAAAAATTGAAAACTGTTTGTTCTATCAGGAATACGAACTTAGAAATTTAAAACAAAATCAGTGAAAAGTCGACTAGAGGTAAAAATGAGGATAGTAAAATCATTTTACCCATTATTATGAAATCTTACTTTATCTAAAGCACCCATCAGCAATTTGTTAAATTTGAAGCCTTGATAACAGATGTGCAGGAGCTATTTGGAATAAGGAGGATGGATAGTTAATTGGCTTCCGATGCAAACTCACCAAGATTCCATCGGTTGTAACATATATGATGGCCCATATCTCTGTTGTGCTAAAGGCTGTAGATAGGATTTTTCATTTTATTTTATATAGGATTTTTGCCTTTATATTATTTTATTTTTTTGCCAAAACCATTTTTTCATCAACCAAAAAGTCATTTTAGTTTGATGTTAAGCTGGAGATTAGATTTAATTTATTGTCACCTTTTTGTTATTACATACTAATTAAATAAATAAAATTGAAAATGGAAAAACTATATTTTAAAAATAAAACATTTAATCATGTGAGGGAGGTAAGAGTATTTTACTCAAAATATTTACAATAAATATAATTTACAAAATTAAAAATCCCTTTAAAAGTCACATGAAATAAGAAAATCCCAAATCAAGCTGATAAATTTCACAAATCCCTAATTGGCCTATGGACTTAATTTGGGATTTGTAAATTTAGACATTTTACCATATTGCTCCATATAATTTTTTTTTTAAAGACACCTCTCTCCATTTTGTTTCAAAAGCACCTCTACTGCTATTAATAGTCAATTTCCACTCTGCTAGTGGCCGATGCTCCGGCAATAGATAATTATTAGAGCTTTTGTGACAACTTTATTGCAAAACTTTTGTTGTAAATAACTCATGAGAACTTATGAATTGTTAAATAATACTAGTATTTATTAATTTATAAATTTACCTTGTGATCAACAATAAAAGTTTATTAAAGAATTGCAAAAGTTTTGTTATAAATGGCTAATATAAATTTGTCAATTGCTAAATTGAACTTCTTAATTCCTAATATTGTCTTGTGATTGAATAATAACAATAAATGTTCACTAAAGAGTGCAAATTTGTTGCAAAAATTTTGCTACAAATAATTAATGAGAACTTGTGGATTGCTAAATTGCACATATTAATTCAACTCAGAAGACAAATTTAGAAATGAAGTGAATGAAAAACCAACAAGAAGCTATTGGTCCAATGCTTGAACTCTCAATGACAACATGATTAAATGAGTTAGAGTATAGATCATGCTCTATCACGAAGAGAATGTCACCCATGGTTATCCATAGCACATGCCTCTATTATACTAAATGCGGGCACTTATCTTAGTGAGAATTTAGTGTCTACTAGTATTTTGAATAAAATTATCTTCAAAAAGAGGATACATGTGCTTAGAACTTAAAAGGTAAGTCCAAATCGAATGAAAGAAGAGGCCTAAACTTAAAGCTCAATATGCCTTTGAAAGGAATAAGGGGAATTGGCAAATGTCACAAGCAACATTATGAACATTGTCCCATCTTATGACAAAGCCTAAAGACATGGTCTACCTAATCGGGTCTTCATTCGGTACTTATCACAGTAATAAACACTGTTTGTTTATTGTTGTAATACAATCTAAATCATTAAAATTCCAAGATGAAAGACTTAGATTAAAATTTTTAATATGCAATTTTTAATGATAAATCTATTTTTTAAAGGAAATGTTAGTTAATAGATTATTTTTATTTTGAATTACGTATCTATTAAAGTAAAAAGTTAATTAAAATACATTAAAAAAAATTAAATTAAATCTGGACCATCTAAAATCAATATAAATAGTTCAAATTTAGATGAACACTCTAATGAATACACTCCCCTATCTAACCACAATAACAATAGGAACAACCGTGCTATACTTGATGAAGAAGGAAAGCATCGATCTTTTCCCAATTTTGAAGCTAAACCTGCGGCAAATATAACAAGTAGAATCCTAGAAGAGATACCTTAAGGCTCCGTTTGATATGAGGAAAATGAAAAAAAAAAAAAAGAGGAAAGGAAAAACTTTAATGAGTTTGATTTAAAAAATTAATAAAGTAGCATTAAAAGCTTTTAATTAATTTTTATTATTCTTTTGTTCTATATTTTTTTATTAAAATTTTATAATCTCACTTTTTAAATTTTTCAAATCGAGTTTGTGAAAAAATTTTCTCATTTTCCCTTCCCTCCATTTCCTTCGTGCCAAACATAGGATAAGTCCGCCTCGCTTACTTAAACATGAGAAATCATAGCCCAAATATTCACCTAGCAATGGTTCAAGACATTAATAACCAATGGACGAAGAACCATAATAAAGAGAAAGACCTTCAATCCTAATTCAAACATGAATAGAGCAAAAGTGGACCTGTGTAGTAGCCATATTAGGCTCCCATTCATAAACTCCAACCATAAAACCTCGTAGTCAAGACTCTTGGTTGAGAATTAAAAAACTTAACACAAGCGTCACTGGAAAAGAGCACGAGCCAATTGAGATGATTTTGAGTAGTTGTGACCCAACACGTAAACACCAACAACAAATGTTAACAAGAGATTGCAATTGTGCAGCATAAGAAATCTGAGGAAAAAGATACTCCCTCTTGTACATAATATTACCTCCGGTCCTTAATATAAGACCTCGTTTGATTTTTATTTTGGTCCTAAATATAAAACCTCAATTCATTTTGTCTCTTATATTTATACATTTTTTTTCAAGTTAGTCCTTCTAACAATAGTAATTCTAGTCAATATACTTGATTAGTAAGAATATTTTAGGAAAGACAATACTTATTTATTACAAATAACTAACTTAACTTCTTTTCTTAATCTCCTCAAATTAGTCAACTAGCTCTTATAATTAGGATCTGAGATAATATAATATAAGAAATTGGTTGCGTATACTAAGAAATGAAAGTTTAACCATTAAATGTCTCTCAAAATTTTATCCTTAAAAATGATAAGATTGCATTTAATGTTCCACTTTTATGATCTCTCGTCTCTCTCCTATATCTAATAGGGATAAACATAAAAAAAATCATTTAATTAACTTAACAAGGTTTTATAGTTTGAATCACAATTTTCTTCTAACTTCAGTCTTTGTGAAAATTGAGGTGTCTAGTGCTGGATGGCGAGAGATGCATTTTGATTTAAAAAAAAAAAAACAGAGGGAGACAACCTTGTGAAACCAACATAGGACCAAGGAAACTAACACACCAACAACAAATGATGCATAAAACACGTGAAACAGACGAAAACTGGTTCACTAAGAACCGCAGAATAGGTAAGAAACCACAAAAGGTGAAAGTTGATGACTGCCTTTGATAAAGAATGTTGCTCTCCAGCTTCTTAATCTATCCAAATTAATTAACATTTACTACCTCTGGTCCTTATAAGGCTCGCTTGGCTCTTGAGGCTTGTGATCGAGAATTAGCAGTTAAAGCGAGGGAAGCAGCAGAACTGAAGATGGACGGGCAAAAACAGAAATTACAGATGGAAAAACTGAAGAGAATCATGAGGCTTAAAACTGTAGAGGCTGATATGTTCCAGCTGAAGGCTAATGAAGCTAAACGAGAGGCTGAGCGGCTCCAGAGAATTGCTCTGGCCAAATCAGAGGAAGAATATACCGGCAACTACTACCTCTGATCCTTAGTATAAGAACTAGTTGACTAATTTGAATAAATTAAAGAAATTAGTTAAGTTAGTTATTTGTAACAAAGAGGTGTTGTTTTCTCTAAAATACCCTTACTAATCATGTGTCATTTGATGAAACATTTAACATGTGCAACTACTACAAAGACTATCTTAGGAAAAATGGATAAATATGAAAGACAAATTGAATTAAAGTCTTATATTTATGACCAAATTGAAAGACAAACTAGCTCTTATATTTAGGACCGGAGGTAATCCTTGAAACAACCATTAAGTGAGGCTGAAGCTGAGAAGCAATACCTCTGTGAGAAGATCAAATTGCAGGAGCGTTCTTGTGCTTCACAAAGTACTAGTGGTGGTGCCAGTGACCCATCTCAGATGCTGAGGTATTCTAAAATCCGTGATCTGCTCTATAGTGTTCCTACCAAGGCAGAGAGTCAGCCTAATGAGCGTCTGAACAAATCCATGGGTATTAGTGCTGTGTATGTTTTAATCTTTTACCATATTAAAGGAATATCTTCTATTGGACCATTAATCAAGAGTCAATCAAATCCCATTGGATTTTTAAGACAGTTTTATCAGCCTTTATATAGGAAAGAGATCTTAGTAAAAGCTTAAAGCAGTTTGAAGCTAGGCTTGTTCTTCCGTTCTGTACAATAAGTCTGCTTTTGTAAAGACCATCTGTGTGAGTGCTATAATTTTGACATTGTGGTAAACAATAGCGAAGTTTTATTCCATATATATCGG